CCTCAGTGTGTATGATGCCTAGGGTTTTAAAATCTGTTCAGATTTAAAAGGTTGTGTGGTGCATTCCAGCCTTAATGCAAGCCAAAAAAAAAAAGCTACCAACAGTTTTTATTTTCAACATCACTAAAAACACAATGTTACAAAAAGGAAGCCGTCGACTTACTTTTGGTGGCTTTGAAGTGTGATCTGGAGATGGTGTTTTTCACAACATTGGGGGTGACTGTAGTTATCTTCCATTTGAGTAGCTTCCTCTGTTCAGCAGGCAACAGCTCCACTGTGAAGGGAGGAGAAAATGTTACAACAGACAGTCTTGAAAACACAAGGCTGTTATTTAATAGAGAAAAATGTGTATTTAACGATCTGTTCATATTGTGTCTGACATTGGTAATAAAGAACCCTATAAAGTCAGCGCTTTTGTGTGTCTTGGTGTATGGTATGCCAACCTCTTTCATCGGCAGTGCTGAAGTACAGCGTGGAGGGCATGTGGGGGAAGAGACTGGGAACAAGTGCAGGTTTCTCCACCAGATCCACCTCCACATCAGGACTAATGGGCTCCTCGACACTTAAAAAGACACAAGAAATATTAGTAGGCCCACACAGAATCTCAGAGCATATTCAGAAGCACTAGTTATGGAGTACTACAATTCCTTAACACTTGTATGTTCAACTTTTTGGCTAATCTGAAGATGCTTCTAGTTGTCAGTAATAGTGTAGTATTCTCAGCTGTTAAACACACAGAATTACCAAATAAATAAAAAATCAGCACAGAAAATTGCAACTATCTGACATTACCTTAAGTAAAATAAGATCACAAAATGGGCAAGAATCACAATCCATTTTGAATTATTTAGGCAAAATACTCTTATAAAGATTCTTATACTGTGTTCGGATGTCAACAGCCAGCTTCCTCATATACAAATAAACCAATTCAGATAAGAGAATTCAATAAGAAACTTAGAAAATTATATTTAAATCTGACACCCGGACACACATACAACACAAGTTGTCAACTTAATCAGTGGAAGAAGGATACAAAAATCAAAATAACTCACGTGACAGTCATGTAGAAACGCTGAGGTTGATTCAAAATGGTAAATCACACTGAACTGCACTGAGTGTGAAGTTACACTCAACATGGCTCTTTACTTTGAGTGGGAAAAACAAAACCAGAAAACACCTACTACAAACAAACCCATTAGCTGGACGTCACTTCATGACAATGCCTCCACAGGCCTGTTACAATTCACTACTCATTTTCCTGTTATACAGGGATAGTTCTACTTCTATCACACAAGAACAACTGTGGGACCTTTCTACAGGCCTCTGGCTTTAAAGCTTTTCTCTGACAGCAACCACTACAACAAACAAAAAACTGTCAGGTCTTCCTCTGTGTTGCTCATCACCATGGTAATGTCAGGTGACTAGAGGAGAAACATGCATAACACCCTCTTCTACTGTAATCTAGCCTTCATAGTGAGCCTTACTTTGCACTCTAAATCTCTGCATCAAAAGTAGATCACCAGCAACCAGCACAAAGCCGGGATTAGCTAACAGAAAGAGATCTTTGAATCAGCAATAAAAATGGGGATTTGCTAAATATTGTAGCCGAACTGTGGAAAAACTGTGTATAGGTAATGTTTTGAAAAACTCATCTTTTGTGTTAAAAATCAATTCCTTGATTTCATATAGACTACACTGTTACTGACCCCAAACTTTTATATGATAGTGTATGATTTTTTATTTTATTTTTTTGTTATTCAGCAAGGGCACAAATTGATCAAAAGTGACAGTAAAGACATTTCATGTTATCAAAGATTTTTCCTATTCATCAAAAAAATCCTCAAAAAAATATTAAGCAGCAAAACTGTTTTCAACATAATAATAAGAAATGTATGCCAAACATGCATATTAGAAGGACTTCTGAAGGATCATGTGACCCTGAAGACTGAAGTAATGGCTGCTGAAAATTGAGCTTTGCATCACAGAAATACATTACTAAAATAACTGTAAATGAAAATATTTAAAAAAAAAATGTTTTCATGTAATAATATTTCACAATATTACTGTTTTTACTGTATTTTTGATTAAATGAATGCAGACTTGCTGAACATAAGAAAATTATATAGGGGTGTGTGTGAGCTACAAAAAACAACATTTCTTTCTGCAGTCAAGGTCAGCATGTTCTGAAAGACACTGAGGTAGAGAACTGATTTATCAGAAGACAAGTGAATGTTTAGGGTGAGCGTAAATGAATTTTATGGGATATAAAGAGTAAGATAAACCAGAAGTATCCATTTCCAGTGAAAGGAAATAGAAGGCCTTTTAATAAATTGCTTATCCAATCGGCTATAAGATTTTTTACTTACTTTCTATGATAAAGCAGTACAAATGACTGTTCTGAAAATAAATACTTGCATTTAAGAAGTAACCCTTGTAGCTCTCCAAAAGAGACCCTACCAAGGCTTGTGATTAAAACCTTGCTTAATTTTAACTAATGAGTGCCCTGACTTCATTTTGCAGGTGGATTTCCACCACATTTTTAAGAGAGATAGTTAATAAACACAACGTAAAACAGTGAGATTCGTCCTGGAGTACTAAATTTCTCAAATACAAAAAGTCTAATTACTTGGATGAGCCTGCCATGGACGTTGTTGAGGAGACATCACAATCATCTGAGTCAACTGAAGAAGAAAAAAAGTAACATTAGATTTTAGGAAAACATAGTCAGACAATTAAAAAAATGTAACTTTATACAAATAATAAATATTGATAAAAGAGTTCTGGCTACACAGGTTAAAGCAACACACAGAAGCAGTTCTGTTACCATCATCACTGAAGTCATTCTCCAGCTTATCTGGAAGCTCCTCCTCATCACCGTCTAGTAGCATTCCCTGTCTGAAGAATGAATTACAATAAAACTTGAGAGAACTGAGCTCAGACATGTGACTTTTACAGTGTATTAGATACACAATATCTGAGAGCTTTGAAGTTGTCCAAAATGCAAACAAATATTTTGTTTGAGTTTCTTAATGATTCAAACCAATTTGAATGATCTGATTCACTAAAATGACTGTGAATTTATAGACATACAGTACTGTGTAAAAGTTAGGAGTCAGAAAGATTTTTTTGAAAGAAATTAATACTTTTAAAACTGATCAAAACTGATAATAAAGACAATTATAATTTCTATTTCAAATAAATGCTGTTCTTTGAACTTTCTATTCATTAAAAGAATTGACAGAAAACTGTTTTCAAATAGAAAACAGATATTTTAAATAGTAATTATTCACAATATTGCTTGTTTTACTGCATTTAATCCAATAAATGGTGAGCATAAGTGACTTCTTTCATAAACATAAAAAAAGCTTATCGACCCCAAACTTTTGAACAGTAGTACATACAAAAACAATGAATCGAGTAAATGTGCACACCTCCGAATCTCAGGACTATCCTCCTCCTTTTCTTTAAGTGTCATGGGGCTTGTGTCCACCTGAGAGGCCTGACAACATTCCTCTTTTGTGAGCTGAATGGCAGATATCTGGTTTGTCACGGTGTAAACAGACGGCGACTGAGGAGAGGCCATATTGTGGCCAGTCGCCTCTGGAATGGCACAAACACCTCCCTGTGTCTTACCATCACATACAACAGCAGAGGGGCACTTCTCATCCGTTATATCAAAACTGAGGGCACTGTTGGTTTCCATAGGTGCAAAACAAGACTCCTTATCTTCATTAATAAGGCAGATGGGTACAGTACTACCTGTGAGATGTTTTATGTTGCTCAGACCGTTGAGTGTCCGGTGTCTTGCATGTACATTTTTTTTGGTGAGTTTTTGCACAACTGTGGCAGCGAACTCTGCCTCAGAGTTGATTTTTGTCACTCTTTGAGGAGCTTCACCAACACTGTGTCCCACACAGCAATCCAGCTCAATTGGTCTAGTGTCTTCCGCTATGATCTTCTCAAACTGCCTTAAATCCTTGGGCGCCATGCTGTGGTTTAAAAGCACATCCGTGCATATATCTTTCAAAGGCACACTCGGTTGGAGAGGTTTTGTTGCATCTGCTATGAGGCCTCGAGAATGTGTTCCATTGCAGCAAGATACGATATTGGCAGGACTGTGCAGATCACCAGTCTCTTGTTTGGAGTATGAGGGCATTTTGGCATTTGGGGGCCGCACAACTCCATTGCTGTTATCCCTGAGCTTGTTGCTCATCCAAGGCAAAGACTGATTAGTAGGCATGATTTTCTCAATTACGACCCTTTGAGAAGACGACTTAGGTGGGGAGGGACAGGCAGGACAAACAGACAGCCGAGACGAAAAGGCCCTTTTTCCTAACAGCCCTGACTTGAACCGAAATGAATCAAGGTTCCAGTGGGATTGACAGTGGCTATGGCATGCAGCAGGAGCAGCGTTAATATGTGGCAAGCTCTTAGATAAAACACTGTGTGTCCTTAAACCATTACTAGCACCATTCAAAGAACTTGCACTTGTGCTCTGTATGCGGCTGACTGTTATGGTAGGCACGTGAGGACAGGCACGTTGTGTGGGGATCCCTGAGACACAGTAGGGCTGATCATACAGCACTCTCACATTCGGCTGAGGCACCGAATCACCCACGCTGCCCTGCAATCTCTTTCTTTCAGTGTTGAAGGAGCCTCGTGCATTGGGTGAATGCACTACTGCAGACTTGGCTTGGATGACGAGGGCTGGCCGTGATGCCCCATTCCTTATGTCTTCAGCTCCACTGGAGGCCATTAATTGCCATCTCACACCCCCCTGGCATGGGCTCTGGCAAACACATGAGTGAGGAACCGAAGGACAGAAGGGGCTACAACTGTAAAACAGAGAGAAAAATAATACCAGTTATTTATGAAATGCACACTGTGGCATTTTAACACCATTTTGTAATCACCATTATTTAATAATCAGATATGGCCAAACATTTGGTATTCTTGATGCTGCTCTGCTGGGCTCCATTACGCACCGTTTAAAAAGTTAGATTTGGTCTGCCTCACTGGTCTAACAGTGCTCGTCATTGTCAAAATGATTAAGATGGCCAATGAAATCCAATAAGGCGGGCTTTACTGTTCACAGAAGCCAATCATGAATTAAAACACAATACTTCAGTTTTAATGGTGAAAGAGTGTGAAATGTAAGTAGCTAACTAACATTTATATAACTCTTTATGATAGAAATGTTAAACGGCTAACAATAACATCCAACTACTTGACTTTTTGTGAAATTTTGCCATTTCAAAAAAATATTTCACTGTAATTGAAAATATAGGCTATCATCATTTACACAACTGATATAAGTAATAACTAAATGTGATGAAACATGAAGCATTAACAGAAGGGTGATTCCGTGTCAAATCAACCAGAGGTCCCCAACTCAAATTTTGGATTGTGTCAATATTACTTCCACAGAGGGACAAGCATATATAGTGATGAAAGCCAAAATATTAAATGTCACAGATGTGTATTTACTGAGTAATCCACTATTTTGTAGAAGGGGGTCAAAATGACAATTTTCACCCGAGATTTGGAGCCAAATTAGAGGGCTGTAAAAATGACTTAAGAAAGCTGGCAGCATCATTTTATTTTTTACAGAGATTGGTCATTTTTTACACCCCTGTAAATTGGCTCCAAATCTCTACAAAATAGTGGATTACTCAGTAAATACACATCTGTGTCATTTATTATTTCAGCTTTCATCACTATTTATGTTTGTTTTTCTACAGAAAAAATATGAACAAAATCAAAAATTTGAGCGGGGGGGTGGATGTGGGGAGTTTCCAACATTTGGTTGATTTGATTACAAATTTTAGTTCAGTTTTTTCTTTATTATTTTAAATTCTTAAATTATTTAATCCCTTTAAATAAAAAAAGACCATAACTACAACACCTCGTCCTGCCAAAAAAAAAAAAAGTAAAAAAAAAGTCCCCCACTGTTCAAGACATAACCTTACCTGTTAGAAATAATTTTACGGAGACTGACATCTGTATGTCAGATACCAACCCTCTGAATGATTACATTGAAATGATTATCTATATAAAATAATAATTAATTATTATAGTTACTTTGTTAAAAATGTCTCCAATAAAAGTCTAAATGCAGACAGTATATCACACTTGCTTGCAAACAAATTTTACTCTACACAAGCACACACAAAAAGCATCTACCCGATAAAATATTTCAGAGTAGAACAAATCCAGAAAATAAATAAATACATACATAAAATATTGACTTTTGAAAATTTCCAGGTCTAGAAAAGACAATTTTTAAATTTTTGGACATGTACCATAGTGTTCTTGAATATAATGTGGAATAAGATAAAAGTACATGCACATATTTGATACTCTGTTTAGTCTGATAACAAACTAAAAGAGCACTTGGGATTGTGGGATTTATGAACCCCAAAATATTCTCTGTCTCATCAGATTTTCAGACACTCAAACACAGTGTTTGATCAAAGGCTTGATCTTTTCAGAGTCCTTCGTTTGAACTCCATAAGATTAGCTAAACCTGCACATTCCTGCTCTATAGACATTAACCCCAGGTTATTTGGGCTTTCAGCAGTCTGGCGTTGAGCTTTCCTCAAGACTACACACATGAACGGGGCTTTATTGTTGTGAATGGAGTCAAAGCAGACACACAGGCTGTGACTCAAAACCCAGTCAGCTGCCTGGCTAGACGGTATTTCTGGGAATCATAGCCGCGTAAATACAGCCTACGTTGGCAGCGCACTAGATTTTGGACCGCGGCCAAAACGAGGCTAACCGTTAGCCTGTTAGCTTACCACACTACACTCGCCGCACAGTAGGGTTAACAACACTTTCTCACGCCGTACATCACCAGCGTCCTCGTGTACGGGACGAACACGTTTCGTTTATCACTAACGTTTATTACTACACAAAGACTTCTGTCTATTTCAGTCAGCGATAAAACGCGTCTTACCGGCTCTGGATGACAGACTAGCTTGAGTCTGGCGCTCGAGAAATCCCGCCTCGTGTGTTTTCCCTCGTGCTGCCTGCGCTGCTGCCTGTCTGACACTGACATCCACACTGTCTGAATTACTGCTGCTGCTAATGATTGAAAATCGCTCTCTGTTACTGAAAACAATTTGTTGATATAAAATAACATTACATGGAAAACTTAAACTTAAAAAAATAACAAAAAAACGAAAATTAGAAATGTTGCCTTGGCAACTAACTGAGATCAATAAGTAGGTACTAAAACTAAAAATTAAAACTAAAGCTATATAGACATGTTGAAAAAATAATATAAAATTTGCATAATTAAAAAGCTCATAAAAATGACTAAAGCTAAAATTATAATGAAAACTGAAAATATGTAAAAAAAAAAAAAAAGAAATACTATAATAGTGTAAAAATAATAGGCCTACTAAAATAACACTGGTCTGAACCATAATAGATATTTCTAATAAAAGTTAGATGAGGAGAATAACGATGCACCACTTGTTTTGTAAATGCATAAACTGAAGGCCGAGGCTAGTTGTCACACCAATTGCTATAGTTAATACTTCTCAGAGGTTTATTTTTGAATGAAATTTTATTTAATTTTTTTAGGCACATGCATTAAAGTCTTGTCATGGTTTTGGTTATCAAATATTGTAGTTAATAAACTATAAGGTTTATAATATTTAAAAAAAAAACATTTACAACAACTATAGCAAAATATGATGATACAATTATCAAAACCTTATAGTTATATATCTCTTGTGACAACTTTCCTGTGTGACAACCAGTTCTGGTCTTCCCTACATACATATATACAAAATACATGTACATATATAAAAAAATCGACAGAACATTTTCTATATAATAAATGTTATGAAGCTCTGACCAATAATAAAACTCAAAAAAAAAAAAAAAAATACAAGAACAGTTTGACACCAGATAGATATGAAAAAAGCAATTGAACATACCTTGTACAAATTCACATCTTTTATGATAAGTTTATGAAACTAAATAAAATCACCAATAAAACAGAGAACAACAGATCCAAGGGAGGTTTTCTGTGGTAAAGCTTGAGCCAACTGACTAAACTTATCCAATATCCTCTCGAGTTATTGAAAACTCCTTTACAGAATGAAGTAACCCAGTATCACCATCTCACATGCACTTAAAATTAAATATGCATTGTGACAAACCACCTGCAATTCGAACTCTCAGCAGGTCACCATGATGCCTTGCCCTTAGATAGACACACACACACACACACACACACACACACACACACACAATCACAATGTTTTGTTGTCGTGTAAGACTCTCAGGTGAGAGAGGGCTCTATCAGATCTTTTCTTCAATGAGCCCTAGACTGACATAACACTGGATAGGAGTACATGTGCAGAACTGAAGTTGTGGTTAACTTACATTACCATGGAAAGACAATTCACACCTACTAACTAGGCCATGGTTGAAGTACAGTACTCAGGGAAAAAATAAAGGTATGCCTGGTATATAGGCCTATAATATCTGTTTTATTATAATTTAGCTTTTGTGTCAGGAACTAAAACACGAAGTCTAGAAATTATGTGAATGTAATCTGATATTCCATTTACATCAAAACACAAACAAACTATAAATAAATACATACATACATAAATACCTACCTACCAAAACTGAGATCAGCAAATTTCAGACACAGTCCCAATGTCGCAGTATACTGAATATAGCCTACAATAAAACTTTCCTAATTAGGATGGGAAAATAGAAATGTACCATTTCAGCGGCCCTCATGAAATCACAATGTTGTGTTGTCGTGTAAGACTCTCAGGTGAGAGAGGGCTCTATCAGATCTTTTCTTCAATGAGCCCTAGACTGACATGACACTGGATAGGATTACATGTGCAGAACTGAAGTTGTGGTTAACTTACATTACCATGGAAAGACAATTCACACCTACTAACTAGGCCATGGTTGAAGTACAGTACTCAGGGAAAAAATAAAGGTATGCCTCGTATATAGGCCTATAATATCTGTTTTATTATAATTTAGCTTTTGTGTCAGGAACGAAAACACGAAGTCTAGAAATTATGTGAATGTAATCTGATATTCCATTTACATCAAAACACAAACAAACTATAAATAAATACATACATACATAAATACCTACCTACCAAAACTGAGATCAGCAAATTTCAGACACAGTCCCAATGTCGCAGTATACTGAATATAGCCTACAATAAAACTTTCCTAATTAGGATGGGAAAATAGAAGAGTGACCTTACAAGTACAACGGCATGCAGATCATGTTTCTAATTAAGTGTAATTAATGGCACAGAGGCGTATAATTATGTTAAGAAACTCTCAGACAATCTGAGAAACTGCACAGTCATGAAATACGTGTCTAACAATATGAGCTCATAAAAAACTGCAAATAAATCAATTATGTGTTTAAGACCTGAGTGCTCTCTATTACATATTTATATAAAATTACACTCTAAACATTTAATAGAATATGCTGATAAACTGTTACGAAATTAATCACCATAATTCATATAAAGGTCTGTTATTCAGAAATTAGGTTCTTACTGGTTGGACAGGTTGTTAAGCTAAATATGAGCATGTGGAGGTGCCCTAATTAACAATAAAGGAGAAAACAGCGCCACTCTCTGGTTCGATGCAATAACTTCATTCGACAAAAATCACTGCGTGCAATCAAGAATTAGGGTACGTGCTGAATTTCTTAAAATTCGTTGTTTTCATTGGACGAAAATGTTGTGGTGTTTTTGCATATGGGTGGTTTCCACTATTTATAAGTATATTTATAATGTATATTTATGTTTTTTTTTATATCAAATTATTAGGCTACCCTGAGGATTCGTTTGCCTCAATCTCTCTCGGGCTATTTATTCAAGCAGTCCAAAACTCAAATATTTTAAAGTCAAATTTTAATTGTTATTTGCTAAATTGCATCATCTGGTAACACTATCCAAATAAAGTCAGAAAAAAAAATCTGATATCAATATGCCAACACATTACTGAGAAAGGACTAGACTTCATGGCATGTGACAGCACTGTAATGTGGAAATAAAAGTAATT